GGTGAAGTTATCATTTTCCTATTTTAGGATTACTGCTTATAAACAGAAAAGATGGAATTATGACTTTCATCCCGGGAGTGGAGTTGGAACTGATAGACCTATGAGCAAAAGAAGGTCATATTCTTTATTTTCTCTATACACCCATCCCACACTTTGCGTGATCTGATTTTAAGCGAATTAGGGAAAGAATTCATAGTTTAACAAAATCAACTTTGTTTCGTGTTTGCTATGCATTACAAACAATATAGTTATTTAAGTAGTGGTTCGTAGGGATTTGATTGATTGGTTAAACATTTTATCATGTGCTGATCACGGTTAGAGAGGTACTGGAAAACCTACAGGGAGTACTGGGAAGCTGTTTTGTGCTAGTTTGGGACTCTTCGACGGTACGTCCTAAACTAAGACAAAACAGCTTCCCATTACTACCTGAAGGCTTTCCAGTACTTCTCTAATCGATGTCAGCTCATGATGAATATCAATGAGATGCTCACTAGCGACTGGCCCTATTCAGGTAGTTACCTAGGGTTCTAGTTGGAAGCCGTGACCAGTAAGTTACAGCAGGTCGGGTGTGAGGACAGATACTCGCTGAAGACATTGGCTAGTGTTCATGCTATGTCGTAAATATAGATATTTATTGTTTCTCTACTGTGAAAACTAATTTTTCTAAGGCAACGGTAAATATTTCCATCAGTCAGTTCAGTGTAGGCATGTGTACTGGACGATTCCCATACAGAAGGAAATATGTGTGCTATATACCACCATCAAGCACCATCATCACTTAAATGAAATCCGAATCGGTTGAAACGATTTGAAAACAATGCGGTAAGATGAATTTACTTGCATATACTATTTTTACTGCAAGTCTTGTCTTCAGCGCCTCTTCTACCAAATTTTTGCATATCTTAAATAGCAGTGGGTGAAATAAACCGAAGTCTTTGAGCTGATCTCAACCTTATCGAGGTGGCAGGAACGTGTTGCGGAACAATGGTGACAAGCATAAAACCTAGGTTGGCGGGCTCTGTCGACTGCCTCCATATGTTTATCATAGTTCCAGCTCACAGCTCACAGTTTTAAATCCGCCATTGTAGACAAATAAGCCACTTCTCCATATATTTTAACTCCATTAGTAATTTAAATCTTGAAATAGTAAAGTTCACTCAAAGGTAAATGAATGCATGTAGTAGTTCTACGATTTCCTTTTCGTTCAATTATTCTTAATTGTTTCAATAAAGTATCTCCCAATTTAGAGTTCCATACGATAATGAAAGGTACCTATGCAACCTGCAAGCAATGCTTTACTGCATAATGCTGACTGATTGATGCAAGCAGTTGAGATCCACTCACATCTGCCAAATCAAATTGAAGTGATGTAAACACAGTGTAGCCACTTTGCTACTTTTTGAAGCCGGTCGCACGAACATTCTACCGAGTTTGACGCAGTTGAAGGAAACAAATCATTTCAAAACTACCCGAATTCTCGCTAACAATATTTATATTTTCAACTTATGCTACAGTCAAAGTAGTGGTTTTTTTGTTTTCCCTGTTGACTGATTAAACCAAAATGTTAAACCTCTCTTGACATCTCATCTCCTTGTAAGGATGCTTCAACTATGTCTGAGGACTGGCGCAATATTATTACTGCGGATGGTGACTGGCTGTGGAATCCAAACTGCTCATTTCCTTCTGTTCAGGACTCCGTGACTGTATATACTTGCAGTCATCACTGAGTCATTGTAATCCCACTGGGACTCGAATTCAGCACCCATTGTTCGAAATACTAAATCTTCATAGAGATCCTTTCGTATACCAAGATGAACAAAGTAATGAGCAGCCACGATCAGTGGCGTAACACTGGCTAACCTTGATGCTATAGACAGCGAATTGACAGTAGTTAGGATTCATTAGCCATTGGATTCTGTCTCAATGATTAAACAGTCTACTTGAAGGTCCTAAGTTTGACCCCCACGGGGTCACTGATCCATGCTGTAGAAGAGCCACAAACTAAATACGACCCAGCTGTTCATTGCTCCTTAGTGGTTTCCAGTAATTCACTAACTGAAGTGTTTCTCGCTACTCCTGTGGCTGTCAACAATTGATGGTGTTGCACGCCTATTGATGAGTTACGTGGTAACACTGGATATCATTAAAAGCATTTACCCTAGCTTAAATGCTGTATAACTTTCACCAACTGTCATATACTCATCATTAGCTTCATAATATCAAATTTTATTCCACCTGAGACTCAATACTTAAAGTATCATATTCATTTAGGAATTACATAAATGATAAGTGTGTGCATTCATCTGAATTATTGCGTAAAAATGATCCTTTTTGAAGCATAAGTACTTCCTAGATGTTCTATTCACTTTAATAATGTATACTTCAATGCAAAATTGGACAGAATTACTTAAAAAGGGAGAAAATACAGACAGACGAGTTGAACAACTTCTTTAATATACTTTAATGAATGTGTTATAATGAATTTGTTATGTAGGATACTTTTTTTTTCTCTCGAATGAGTGAAAAGCACGTTTTCTTCATATCAAATAATACAGAAATTGTGACGTAGATTGCTAGACATTCACCAAACTATTATTTCACCAGTAAAAGATATATTAAGATATTTTTAAGCTAAATGAGTAGTTTCCAGTAAATTAAGCACTCTATTTTTACACACGACATTTACTAAAAATAAAATATCAGATGAAGAATGTCTCATCTCAATAAGTATTTATTATCAGCCTTTACAATCGTATGTATATATTTATAGTCCTTAGTATTGAGACAGACTAAATCCTATCAGACGAATTTGCAATGGGATCACCAAGCTAGTCGGCTCATCATCAGGAAGCCTTAGACCTTGGTTTCGTCTTCACCAGTACTCGTCAGCTCCATATACCTGAGATCTTGAAGAAGCTTATGTCCTCTTTGTTATTCGAATTCAAGTCATACAAATACTGAAGTCACAGATGTTACCACTGAGCTACTAGGTTTCACAGTTAACTGAAATGACCAGCTGCCCATGTTGATGATCATATCGCAAACACCACTGACAAGATGTATGACATTTGTCACTGCCTAGCCATTAATCACTGTCTATAATAGTTCTGTAGGAAGTAAACCATGAGTCTGAATGGCATAGTGGCAACACCTCTGACTGCAACACTGAGTAACTTGGGTTCGAGTCTCAGAGGCGACATGAATTCTTTCAAGACTACAGATAGGTAGTGCTGACTAGTGAGTGCCAAAAAAAAGACAGAATCTCGGTTTAGGTCTTTTTGCGATCTATTCCAACCATCTTTCATTAGTCGTATACTTATATTTAACTTTCCTGAAGCTATATCTTATGAGTAAATTTAAATAATATGTGTGAACATGGTTCCACGGGGAGCCCTTCATATCACTTTCTTGGGAATCTGACGGAAGTTAACGACAATAAATATAGCTGTAGAATACAGAGGTGTTTGGTTTCAGAATTTTATACTTTCTTCAGATTCTTTCACAATGATCTTTCATTTCTCCACATTCTCTAGCCTACTCTATCGCTCAGCTATTCAAAATATTTACCGAAGACTTCACTAATATAATACTTTCAAATTCTTATTAGTACCACATATTATTATTCCCTTGGGTTTCGAGTGAAATATAAGGCTTCAACAACACATCTCCACTTTATTCAACTTTGTGAGGACCACCGAGCTGAACAGCCGATCGCCCATAATCTCTTATCTCTTCCTCCCATTCGGATTCCACTCAACAGCCCGATACGCGATGTCATTCGACGTTCTTTTCAGTTTGTTCCCGATCCACCTCCACTTTCTTCTATTTATTTGTTGAACGATAGGTGTTTGGTTAGTTCGTTGCCAGAGCTTCTTGTTGCTAATTTTCTCTGTCTCGCCGACCAGTCGATCTTCAGTATGGAGCCAGAGAAGGTAGCTGTTGAAAAAACTTCTGTAACGTGTTGGAAATGCTTTTCGTGACACGCTGGTCAACTTTCTGACGCACTAAGAAGAACTGACTAACTTAATATTTGTTTTGAAAATTCGAATCTTGTTCTTTATGCTGAAGCAGAGCACAGAAAATTTTCACACTGGTTTCAGGGTTGGTTGATGAAGGCGTATCTTGTTTTCCCGATTCTGGCCACCTTTGACAACTTCATCCGTGCCATTTGCCTATCGTTGAATCAATGTTTCCCAGATAAGTGAAGGAAGTAACCTATCTCAAATTTCTCCCGTTGTCGGTGACTGGTGTTGGTTATTGTTGCTGTCGGTTGGTTGGTTGGTTGGTTGGTTGTTTACCTTCCTCACCTCCATCTTCGCTATATTCACCTGGAATCCTGTATTCACTGCCTGCCTCTTCAGCCATTTAGTTGGTTATTATCTGCAATAAGGGATAGGTACGAAAATTGACAAAATAAAACAAGAAACAATAAATAGATTTTTTTAAAATATTTTTTCATGCTAAGGTCAAGGTAGCGACAAGGACTGTATATACCTCATTCCTCCCTTAATAAAATGGAGCTGAAACATACTCTCGTATCCATGTGAGTAGCATTCTGTGTCTATGGTCAGTGTCACTTGCTCCAAAAAAAAGTTTAAAAACTAAGAGATACGAATAAACGCTACCAGAAGTTTATCGTAATTCTCAATATCTTTTTCCTAAAAGTCATACTGGAAACGCTGCAAAAAATAGTGTATTAAAATTATTTTTCTGATGGTTCCAAGGTGAGAAGAGTTCGCCCAAAATGCAAGCGTTCAATACAGAAATATTGTTGTTTCTTCAAGCTGCTCAACCCACTGAACATGCTAACACCTAATGTATTCACCTGACGCCAAATTCAAGGTAATCGGGAATCCTCTGACTGCAAATGGAGGCCGTTCACTGCACCCCATTGGGTTGCAGCTTGAGACGAATCCTACTAGGGTGTGCTCAAATACTTTGGCGTTCTCCATTCTTTTTTACACAATATAACGTTATATCTGCCTTTTGTATGATTTTAGGTATGATAGTTGGTGCAATGTGTGCAATTACAGGTGTAATGACAATATCTCTACCCGTTCCTGTTATTGTATCGAATTTCTCTCGTTTCTACACACATACACAAGCCCAATCAAAGCTGCCAAAGAGAAGACGACGTATTCTCCCTGTGGAATCAGTACGTCCAAAACCCTATGGTCAAGCTGGACAATTAAGTTCTTCAATTAAATTAAAAAATAGTTATGGTGTGAATCCACCAGCATCAGCAAGAGCTTTTAATTCAGCGATTGATTCACCAATGCGATTGGCTACCAGTATACAAAACAGGAGTATTATGGATACAAACACAAGAGTTATAGGTAAGTAAGTTGGTAAAAGTGACGTAGAGAATATAAGTTTGCAACTCATTTCTAATTTGAATCACTATGAAAATTGTGTTTAATTATTATTATTATTATCCATTAATTTCTCGGATGGTGACTAGCAATGGAATCCAGGATGTGCGCTTCGTCCTATTTGGGACTCATCACCTAGACCTACTTGCATTCCCCACTGAGTCTCGAACCCATTGATTGTCGTTTCCATCACCAAAAGGCTATCCACTATATTACTTGGTCCTAACAAGCCACCTTGTGTACAATGAGTATAATTACAACTGAGGCTAAACATTTCTGTACACTCAGTCAGCGGGAAAATCAAAAAGAGTATTACTCTTTATTCCCTTCATTCTAAACGGAACATACGGTCTCAACTGTGTTTCGCCATCACACTCCACTTTCTTTTATCACTTCCAACTGGCTCCAAGACTCTACAAATGCCTTCCTCTCCTCTTCACATTCTCTATTATATGTCATGTTCAGATTTCGGCATATGCTGTCGATTCCCACTGGGATTAGACTACTTGATGGATTTGATTCCAGAATTCCTTGCCATCTGATCGTCAATGATAGAAGAAGACAGGTGGTGGTGAAAGTTTGTAGCAGTCTGTTGGAAATGCTTCAGCTGATCCGGCAGGTCCATTCAGATCTTGTTCCTAAGTGCTAAGTGCTGTTGTGGTAAGAGCTGGCTGTTAGTCAAAATTGGTGGACATGTTGAGACATGTTAAGACTGTCTATTGATTTGTTCATTTGGAATATTCGCTCACACATTTGTTCGGACATTCATATATTTTTGCTCACACACTCTTGTGTGACATTGATTCTCCTTGTGTTTGGAAAATAGAAGTATCATCGCAAACCTAGTGGTCTTCTGATTTCCGTCTTTCTTGCGTCAGGACTATTAAATTCTCGACCAGTACATAATAATAATTTGGCGACGGGGAAGACTACTATTAACCACTCAGCAGCAGTAACATAACAGTCATCTACTGTTATACCATATAAGGAGTGAGGAAACATCTGAAACCCTACGTAGGATTCTTAATAAAGCAGAAGTTAGGGTGACATTTAAACCTACAAAGTCACTCAGAGACAAGCTCCATGGGCTAAAAGACCTGGTGGACCCAATTAGAGAAAAATAATATAATTTACAAAATACCTTGCAATGACTGTGAGTCAGGTCAACTACATAGGTAAAACTAGTAGATCAGGAGTAATGAGATTGTCAGAACATAAGAATTTAGCTAAGGTAAGAATGGTTGACCTTGAGAAGATAAGTAATTTAGAAAAAAGCTCAGAAATTGCACTACCTGCATTAACATACAACCACGATACACACAACCACCCATACACACCATAGGGTGGTAGAGGGTTAAGATTCTATGGAGTAATCTATGTAGTTGGAGAGAGAGATTGAATAATGAATCCGGCCTGGTTCCTCGAGTCTACACCCAACACATGGAACAGAAATGACTCAATGCAAAGATCAGAGATATGGAAGATATTACCACCAGTCAAATCAGAAGAGGATAACAAATAATCATAAAATTCTATTTCAATTGAAGCACATCACAACTGTCTAACAAGTTACTTATTATGACTATAAAGACACTCGTCTTATTTCCCATTTGATTATAATTGATCAATAACACTCATATTATTATTAGTGAATGTACATTATCCCATATTGATTTTTATTTAAATATCTAGTCAATTCATGCATATAAGTGAACCAAGAAAGTTGTGTGAGCAACCTGATATGATTATGAACAATAGTTTTTGCTCGAAACGTCATCAGTTAACATTACTGTGTAACACTGTGTGACTTATCAAAATAAAATCTTATCCATAATGGAGCATCTCTAATTAATCCTGTTCTTTGAAGTTATTTTTTTAACTGGAACCACAATTGCTCACAAGCTTTCATTTCCCCCTCACAAAAGTTTCCCCATTTCACTGTCATACACACTCCTAGCTCACCATTCTTCTTCCTAGTCCTCCTTGATAGTCCGACACGTGAGGTCACTCAATGGTTTCCCCTAAAGTATGTCCAATCCATCTCCAAATCTCTCTAAATATTTATTAGGCAATAGGTCCTTGATTGATTCATTGTTGTTGATCTCCACTGTCGAGAAGGTAAAATTAACACTTGATGAAATTCTTCAGTAGCCTGTTGAAAATGATTTCACTGACGCGTCTGTCAAGTATTTCAACCATTTACAGACACTGATTAACTTCTTTTTGATGTGGTTTTGTTCTCTGAGCTGGATGGTTAGTTTGCGAAGCTTTCATCACCTTACTGGGTGACATCTTCAGCGCATACTTCAATTTGAAGTGAGCTTTTAGATTTCTCCACGAGTTTATTAATCATCTCTCCTGGTGACCTTGGACGTGATTGGTTGTTTGTGTGTGTTTTCACACCTTCTAGGTTACTTGTATTGGAACCGGTTGTTTCTTTGACTTGAATTTTGACCCTTTGTCTGTGAAGTTTCTTTCTTATTGGTTGATAAATTTTGTCTATGTCGATGTGTCTATTGATTGATGATCCACTGGAATGCCAAGCTTCTAAAAATTCTCTAGCATTCTTGTTATTTCCTTTGTCTAATATTTGAACGTTGTCCCAGTCGAATTGATGTCCGTAGTTGTCTGTGTGTAGTGAAATGAGGGAGTGGATATCATGTCTTTTGACGGCTAGCTTATGTTCGTGGATACGAAGACGAAGGGGACGTCCACTTTGGCCGATGTAGTGTTTTTCGCAGTTGTTACAGTTTATTTTGTAGATGATGTTGGTTTTATCTTCTTTCGCTGTTGAGTCTTTTGGTTGACATAGAATTGAGTGAAGCGACTTTGTTGGTTTGTGTACGACGTCAACTCCTAAAGGTTTGAAGAGTCTTGTAGTGATTTCTGAGATATCTTTTATATATGGTAAGGCAATTTTCTTTGTGTTCTCCTTGGTGGCTTTTGCTTTGGTAGGTTGGCTTGGGGGTATATGTCTCTTGATGAAATTCCGTGGATATCCATTCTTTTGGAAGACGTCCATGAGATACTTTTCTTCAATTTTTCTTAAGGTGGGAGTGCTGCAGTGAGTCCTTGCCCTCTTGAATAGTGTTTGTATGCAATTCCTTTTGTGTGTTATTGGGTTGTTGCTGTTGTAATTCAGTATTTGGTCTGTGTGAGTTGATTTCCTATAAACTTGAGTTTCTAATTCTCCTGTAGTTGTTCGCCTGACTAAGACGTCCAAAAATGGTATTTTGTTCTCGGATTCCTCTTCTCTTGTGAATTTGATGTCGTTGAAGACGTTGTTTATTAAGTTGTGAGTTTTATCTAATTCGTTTCTTTTGATGATTACAAATGTGTCGTCGACGTAGCGTATCCAAATCTTGGGTTTGATCTTTGGTAGAATTATATTTTCGAGTCTTTGCATCACTGCTTCTGCAATCAAACCTGATATTGGTGATCCCATGGGTGTTCCTTTGACTTGTTCATATATTTGGCCGTTGAATTGGAAGTATGTTGTTAGGCATAGATTTATGCATTCCATCCAGCTTGTGTGTTGCATTTTTGATTGTTGTGGCAGTTGTTCGTCGTTGCTAAGTAGTTGCTCCATGGTTTCTTTTGCTAGGTTTTGTCCGATGGATGTATATAATGCTGTCACGTCGAATGATACCATTATTTCTTGTTCATCTATTTGGATGCCTCTGATTTTCTCTAGGAATTGGATAGCAGAGTTGATGGAGTGATCGCAAGATTCCGTTAGGTGTTTTAGTTTTCTGTATAATTCTTTGGATAAATTATATGTTGGAGTTCCTGGGAGTGATACAATTGGTCGTAATGGGATATTTGCCTTGTGTATTTTGGGTCTGCCATAGAATCGGGGTAGGACTGGTCCATTGGATGGGATCCCAACAAATCCCATACAAACATTGGATAACCGCATCCAAAGGACCTTAAACAAGCTCACCAAAACTGGACAGATCACAAAACAAGACCAATGGCGAATGAAATCCAATGGACCAGTCCTACCCCGATTCTACGGCAGACCCAAAATACACAAGGCAAATATCCCATTACGACCAATTGTATCACTCCCAGGAACTCCAACATATAATTTATCCAAAGAATTATACAGAAAACTAAAACACCTAACGGAATCTTGCGATCACTCCATCAACTCTGCTATCCAATTCCTAGAGAAAATCAGAGGCATCCAAATAGATGAACAAGAAATAATGGTATCATTCGACGTGACAGCATTATATACATCCATCGGACAAAACCTAGCAAAAGAAACCATGGAGCAACTACTTAGCAACGACGAACAACTGCCACAACAATCAAAAATGCAACACACAAGCTGGATGGAATGCATAAATCTATGCCTAACAACATACTTCCAATTCAACGGCCAAATATATGAACAAGTCAAAGGAACACCCATGGGATCGCCAATATCAGGTTTGATTGCAGAAGCAGTGATGCAAAGACTCGAAAATATAATTCTACCAAAGATCAAACCCAAGATTTGGATACGCTACGTCGACGACACATTTGTAATCATCAAAAGAAACGAATTAGATAAAACTCACAACTTAATAAACAACGTCTTCAACGACATCAAATTCACAAGAGAAGAGGAATCCGAGAACAAAATACCATTTTTGGACGTCTTAGTCAGGCGAACAACTACAGGAGAATTAGAAACTCAAGTTTATAGGAAATCAACTCACACAGACCAAATACTGAATTACAACAGCAACAACCCAATAACACACAAAAGGAATTGCATACAAACACTATTCAAGAGGGCAAGGACTCACTGCAGCACTCCCACCTTAAGAAAAATTGAAGAAAAGTATCTCATGGACGTCTTCCAAAAGAATGGATATCCACGGAATTTCATCAAGAGACATATACCCCCAAGCCAACCTACCAAAGCAAAAGCCACCAAGGAGAACACAAAGAAAATTGCCTTACCATATATA